AGACTTTCATGCTCTTTTCCGAAATATGTTCCACTTGGACAATGCCCCGTGGATTCGTGACCACAAGGTCGGCGATGATATTGTTTTCCCCTTCGCTGGCTATGCTGCGATGATTGGAGAGGCCGTGAGACAGCTAACCGGAGTCAGCGAAGCATTCGAACTCCGCAATATCATTGTCAGCACTGCCCTCGTCTTGAATGAGGGCCCGCCAGTTGAGATCATGACAACACTGCATCGCCATCGATTGACTGATTCCCTCGACAGCGAGCGGTGGGAATTTACCATCGCTTCTCACAACGGAACAAGTTGGACCAAGCACTGCTCGGGTGATGTTAGATCGTTTAGCGAACATCTTGAAAATCTAGACAAGAAAGCTCCTCTTGTGCGCAAAGTTGATACGCGCCGTTGCTACCATTCTATGGCCGTGTCCGGTCTCAACTTCGGGCCATCATTTCAACGTCTCGACCATCTCCGATCAGACACCGTTACTCAGAATGCGACGTCCGAACTTGTTGCAAAGGATACTGATGGGGATGACTATCATCTGCACCCCACGGTCATCGATGCCTCACTACAACTGCTCAGCGTAGCTGCTTCCAAGGGATATGCTGACCAAATAACCACCATAATGGTTCCTACTCACATTCAAGAAATGACCATCTACCGCTGTTGTGAGAATGTCCAAGTCCAAGCTTCCGCATCTTATACCCCGAACGGCTCTATCGTGGGTAGTAGCCAATGTATTACTGCAGGGGGCAAGGTTGCTTTACGCAGTTCTGGAATTAAACTCTCTGTTCTCGATCATCAGGGCTTTGACAAAGCGGACAACCCCACTGCTCGTGCAGAATGGGCTCCCCATATCGACTTCCTGGATGTCAACACTCTCATAATGCCATTGATTGACCGCAGTAATTACATGCCCGCTTTGACAGAACTATCCCACCTATGTATGATTTACACACAGCGTGTCATCGCAGAACTGGATACTCCAATCAGCCACATGCACAAGTATCGATCATGGATCGATCAACACCTCCTTTCTGTGGATTTGCAGAGTCTCCAATCTCTTGACAATACTGCCATTGAGCAGCGTGTGAAAAGGCTCGTCAACCAGGTATCCCAAACTAATGGTGCCCATCTTGCTGTTGGTATTGAGGTAATCTTCAATAACGCCCAACGGATTTTTACCGGAGAGGTAGAGCCCCTGGATCTCCTTTTAGCCGACGACATATTGGCCAACGTCTACGACGCTATGGATCAATGCGATGTTTCCAGATTCATCAAGCAACTAAGCCACAGCAAGCCTAATTTGCGTATCCTCGAAATAGGTGCCGGAACCGGTGGATCTACAGCTAATCTCCTAAAGCTGTTGACACCTGGGAACAGAACCCTATACACGAATTACACCTTCACTGATATCTCATCAGGCTTCTTTGTTGCTGCCAAGGATCGCTTTGCCAATTACTCAAACCTCGAATACACCACTCTCGATATTAGCAAGGATCCCTTCGACCAGGGTTTCGATGGTCGCAAATACGACCTAATTCTGGCGACTAATGTCATCCACGCCACTGCATCCTTGAACGACAGTCTGAGCAATGTTCGCAAACTTCTTTCTCCCACCGGATGGTTCCTGCTCCACGAATTGACACCCACATCCAAATGGATCAACTATATCTTTGGAACTCTAGCCGGTTGGTGGTACGGCAATGCTGACGGTCGGTCGGATGAGCCATACATAGGCGTTGAGCGCTGGGAGAGAGAACTCAAGGCCGCTGGATTCCGCACTCCTGATGCTGCAGTTTTGGATTCTGATCCCCCATATCAGTTAAACGCCATGATCGTGGCTAGACTGGAAAGTGATGTTGCACCCAAAAAATGCGTCACGCTCTTGACCCTCTCTGAACCAAAATCTGTCGGTCCTTTGCTTCAGGCGCTGGAGAACAGGGGATACTCCGTTCATCATTCTCGGTTTGACGAAGAGCCCCTGCCTGACAGACAAGATGTGATTGCTTTGCTTGATGATGAAACCCCATTCTTTGAAAACATGGATAACCAACGGTTTTGCTCTTTCAAGAAATTCGTGGAGAGCCTAGATAAACGTGGTATTCTCTGGGTGACTCGTCTATCCCAAGCCCAATGTCAGGATCCGAGTTTTAGCCAGATCAACGGCATAGCAAGGACTATTCGCAATGAATTGCTTGTCGACTTTGCTACTTGCGAGGTTGATAACTTTGATCTCTCTTTGGAGAAACTCATCGACGTATATGAGAAATTCCAAGTCCGCCAGGAGGACGAGACCCTCAAGCCTGAATTTGAATACGCTATTGTGGACAATACGGTCCAAGTTGGGCGGTATCATTCGTTCTCGGTGCAAGACGAGCAAGAAACGTCGGGTTCAAATGGTTGCATGGCTCTTCGAACTAGTAAGCCCGGTCGCTTGGCTTCATTATACTGGGCTCATGGGGATATCAAACCTCTGATGGGGGATGAAGTGGAAATTGACACCTACGCAACCGGTTTGAATTTCAAGGTAGGTCCGAAGGCAACAGGGGGACATAATAACACATACTAATACGATTTCGCAGGATGTCTTATGTGCCATGGGCATTGTCGAAGCCAAAGATAATGAATTTGGCCACGAGGGCGCCGGCATAGTCCGCCGCATCGGTCCTGAAGTTCAAGATCTGAAGGTCGGTGACCGTGTCATGGTTGTTGGGGGCTGTTTATTTGGGACACAATTAGTTCTCTCCGAGAACTTGTGCGAAAAAATCCCAGGTGGCTTAAGCTTCACCGATGCGGCTAGTATGCCTTGCGTATTCAGCACATCAATATACTCCATCTTCGAGATTGGTAATCTGAAAAAGGGACAGGTTCGTTCTCCCCTCAACTCCCTGGCTTCTGACCTCAACCTTTAACGTATTTTATAGTCTATTCTTATCCACAGTGCCTGCGGCGGAGTTGGAATTGCGACCATTCAGCTTGCTCAAATGGCTGGTGCCGAGATTTACGCAACTGTCGGTAACGAGGAGAAGGTCCAGTATCTCATGGACACGTTTGGCCTTCCTCGAAATAGGATCCTCAACTCCCGTAATAGCTCGTTTGTCGAGGATATCATGCGGGAGACAAATGGACAAGGTGTCGACTTGGCCTTGAACTCGTTGTCTGGTGAATTACTACACGCTACATGGAAGTGCATTGCGCCATTTGGAAAGATGGTCGAGATTGGCAAGCGAGACTTGATTGGCTCTGGAAAACTTGATATGGCTCCTTTCTTAGACAACCGGAGCTACTGCTGTGTCGACTTGGATCAAATTTGTTCCAGAAAGCCGACCCTTGCAAAGAAGTATGTACCATCAATCACGAGGTGAATGACAATGTATGAGATTCGATAACTGACATCATACAGGCTGCTGAAGGAAATTGTGCACCTACTCAGGGAGCGCTACATCTCTCCTATCCGACCGATCAAGGTTTTTAGTTCGGGTGGTATACACGATGCCTTCCGTTACATGCAGCAGGGCATTCATCTAGGAAAGATTGTCGTGTCGATGCGTGATACGTCAGGCCAGGTCAGCGCAGTACAAAATATCCAGCAAAGAAAAGAGCCTATCCAACTCAACAGCTCCGGTGCATACCTGCTGGTAGGTGGTCTCGGCGGTCTGGGTCGGGCTATATCTACGTGGATGGTCCAACACGGGGCTCGCCATCTCATATATCTTTCCCGAACTGCAGGATCAAGCGTACGCCACCAAGAATTTGCTCAAGAGCTTGCCAGTATGGATTGTTGCGCCGACTTCGTTCAAGGTAGTGTTTCCAATATCGAGGATGTGACCACCGCCATCAAACGGGCTCAAGGCCGGCTTCGGGGTATCCTGCAAATGTCCATGATGCTTTGTGATCGGAGCTTTGCACGCATGACACTGGAAGAGTGGAACACAGCTGTTGATCCGAAGGTCAAGGGAACGTGGAATCTTCATAATGCTTCGGTATCTGCGAATGCGGAACTTGACTTCTTTGTTCTTTTCAGTTCGGTGTCCGGTGTCTTTGGGCTTCCTGGTCAGACCAACTATGCTGGTGCCAACACCTTCCTAGACGCGTTTTCAAGATACCGGTTGGGTCTGGGACTACCAGCTTGCGCTATCGATATTGGTCCCGTCGAGGGAGTAGGCTATGCTGCTGAGCAGGAAAGAATTATACAAAAGCTCAAGGCTGCTGGTGGCTTAGGCAATACAGTCTCGGTGAGCGAGCTTTTTAGCGCAGTAGAGGCAGCGATAACACCTATGCCAAATAAGTCGAGACCCGAAGCAAGCAACTTCTGCGTTGGAATTCGTCCCAACATGCCTCTGGCCGATCAAAGAAACCGTTTGATCTGGAAGAAGGACATACGGATGTCGGTGTTCCTTAACGCTGGAGCACCTAGTACTTCCTTGGCTTCTACTTCTGGCACTGGCCTGGAGGCCTTTATCTCACAGGCCAAGAGCGATGCCGCGCTACTAAGCCAACCCGACTCTGTTCAAACACTTGCTGTGGAAATTGGAAAGAAGGTGTTTAGCTTCTTGCTGAGGCCGGAAGAAGACCTGGTTACATCTTACTCCTTGTCTGAGCTTGGAATGGACTCTCTCGTGGCAATTGAGGTGAAGCAGTGGTGGAAGGCGACATTCGAGTTTGATATCAGTGTCCTCGAGTTGATGGGAATGGGCACCCTCAATATGCTCGGGGAGCATGCTGCTCATGGCATGCTTAAATTGTTCCATGGTGTACAAGAGGAAGCCGATTGAGTACCATGTGGTTGTAAATGACGCCAATGTAAGTGATAATTTGATTTTGTAAACAGAACAAATCAGGGAAATAGAAGCAAACGATGAGATATAACAGCAAGTTCTCGCCAATTTCCACACTGTATGCTCCCTTGAAATCTCAGAGCAGTGTAGCTTAAAAGCAACAACCCAGGAATATGAACTATATTACATTAACCGTTTCAAATTATTTATTTCTATTTAGACTTGATGTGATACCTCGTGCTGAGGAAGTCGGAACATCATTGCCCAAATTCCCAATGAGACAGCCAGCATGGCAAGCAAGATCGGCTGCAGCACCATCACCCCCTTAGCCTGGGCAATGGCTCCAATCATGAATGGGAAAACAGCACCACCACCCATAGAAAATGCAGCCGCAAATCCAATAGCAGCAACATGAAGATTCTTCGGTAGCAATCGTGTCGCCACGATCACAACTCCCGGGAAGATAGTCCCCATAAAGAATCCAACAAATGCAACTGCGACCGCGGATACGATGAACTCAGGCACGAGCCAGAAGATGAGCTCAAGGGCAATTGCAAGCAAAATGTATATAGCAATAGACAACTTCTCCCCAATTCGTGGGGAAACGAACCCTAGCACGAATCGACCAACAGTGATGCCCAGCCAGAAGCCTGTCTCTGCCATTCCGGATTCAAATGGGTCGCCATGTCGGACGTTCGTCATAAAGACAACAATCCAGCCACCGATTGCTACCTCGATTCCACCATAGAGGAAGAGGAAGACGGCGCATATCCAGGTGACCTTATACGTGAGGGCAAGGCGTGTTTGAGCGAATACTCCTCCTCTGCCAGGGAAACTAGGATTCTCTTCTTGATACTTACTGCCAGTTTCAGCCCAAAAAGCGCTGGTGGAGTAAACGAGCGCGATAACAGCTGCTCCAGTCTGTATTTGATTGTTAGTTTGTCGATATCCAGTGGGGGTTGTAGAGAAGACCGAGATACCATCAGATAGTAATAAGAGTACCATTCCCATCCAGCTTTGATAATTAGACTCGTAGCAACGAGAGGGCTGATCGTGGCCCCCACGCCATAGAACCCATGGAAGAAACCGAGTACTTCATGCGAGTTCGCCATGTTCCCGATCCATACATTCCACGCCGCATTATGAAATCCACTCCCCAAGCCAACCAGAATATACATAATCACCAGGACTGGAAATGGTGGATGGGCAGATATGACAGCAAATGCAATCACATGGCAAGTTGGGGCAATTATTGTGATTCCTCGTCGTCCGAGAGTCTGGTGAATTAAATTGCTCAGGATAGCGGATACAGTATATCCCACAAAGGGCGAAAGGAACACTAGGGAAACGACCGTGTAGTTTTTTTTATAGTAAACCTCTAGCTGAAAGGTTCAAGTACGATCGTCAGCTAATTTATACAAGCACGATCAGGTCAAAGCTGAGTTGGTGACACAAACATAGGGAATGATTGCTCCATATGCAGCATCATTAGATCCCATCACAAATGCACACCAAAACGTGGCAGTCACCTTCCATATGGTTGTTTTCGACTCGTTCCATCTTGGTGCGACGTTTACTGCATGCAAAGGTGGAGTCTCGTCGGTCTCTGAAGGCGTAGCTTCGGGCGTATATTGGTATACGGGTTCGTCTGGCGTTGGTGGCCATGATGACGGGCTCAAGCTCTCACTTCTGCTCATTTCTGGTGGTGTCACTTCCAAGGTTGAAAAGTTGAAGGTGGCAGTGAGAAGCGTGAGATTGAGGGGGGGGTATACGAGACATCCATGGAATATGCGGGGGAAACAACTGGCGAATGTAATCCCGGTAGTCTGTCAATATGCACGGATTTATAGAGCTATCTCTTTCCATGAAAGGGACTCATAAGTTCCATCTAGTTCCAATTTCACTACCTTTTCCCAAGTTTATTAAGTCTATTTTGTTGCTTCTAAAACGTCCATTAATCATATTGAAAGTTCAACGGCGGCATTCCGAAGCTAACATGGAACCCTAGAGGCTGAATGATGGTATAAAAAGCTATCAAAAACGTCAAGATTGAAGCAATAGTATATACCACAGAGCCCCGTCAACTATCGAATTGTATCAATCCTAAAAAGTAATGTAGCATTGTAATAAATGCCGGTCACGTGGTGGTATTCTCTCCATCAGCGCGTGTTTATCCGCGACCTCGGGATGTCTCCCAAGTCTTCAACCTTTCCATCTTGGGAAAAAGCCACGTCACATCAGAATTTTCTAGTTGAAATGGCCACAAATACGCAGATCTCCTCAAAAAATTCTAATCTAAATGAGTTCCTTCAGCCTTTCAAGGTCGAACTCGAGAGCTTGTATGATTTATCCTGTCGACTGTCATCGTCTTATAAAAAGTTAGCTGCGGAATCTTCAGAACACTTTATTCCAACGGCTCTTACCTGTCTTCCAACGGGCCATGAAATAGGACGCTATCTTGCTGTCTATTTTGGTCTATCCTACCTTCGTGTGGCCTTTATCGACCTCTTAGGAGATCAACACGTCGAAGGACATACACGCGTACGGCGCACATTAGAGAAAGCATGGCCTATTGAAGAGCATCTACGAAAGGATCATTCTACTGACCTGTTCACATGGATTGGAGACTGTATCGCCGAGGTGGTGGCAGACAGACTGGCCAACCCAAGTGAAGAACGAATTGATCAAATAACGACAGGCATTTCATTTTGTCTGCCTATAAAGTATAGCTATCCCCCCCCCCCCCCCCCCCCCCCCAGACTCGGCCATGCGTTTCTGTGACTAACCCATTGTAGACAAGATTCCCTCGATGAAGCCATCTTGATGCCGACAGGCAAAGGCTTTTCTCTAAACTCAGACCTCAATCTCCGCCAAGCCTTACTGAATGGATATGAACGCCACACATATTCAACTCATGGAGATGAAATGAACATGCCTGCTAAACGCCGCAGGCTATTCTCTCTTCCTAAACTGAAAGTCGCAGTCATGATCAATGATACGACAGCGACCCTTGCTTCACTAGCGTACTCCATCCCTTCCTTGCCCAACACCCGTGTTGTTATGGGTCTGATCGTGGGCGCGGGATGCAACACAACGGTCCCCATGAAACTTGCCGATTTGCATGAATCTAAAACTAAAAGCATTCTTGAAAAACACCCCAGCGCACAAGAAACGCTCATCTCAACTGAATGGACTCTCTCCACTGCAGCGGCTTCTTTCGATGAGCTTGGTATTCGAACTAAGTGGGACCTTCAGCTGGATAGAAATTGCAAAAGACCTGGTTTCCAACCAATGGAATATATGATCGGCGGCGGATACACCGGCGAGCTCGTCCGCATCGTCTGTTATGATTGGTTCCATGGAGTTTTGGGAATACAGCGCTCTAAATTACCGCTGAAGTTGGTTAAGGAGTATTCTCTCTCAACAGACTACCTCTCCCTTGTTGTTGCCTCTTCTCTGTCCGATGAACACCTTGCAAGCGAGTTGTCCAAGACACTTCAACCATCTCATGAGAGTGATTGGACCTGGTCGCCTGAATACGCCCGTGATATTCGCACCATTGCCTCAGCTGTACAGGATCGAGCGGCTTCTTTGGTGGCATCTGCGGTTGTTGGTCTCCTAGCCTGCACCAATGAAGTCCAATTGGGCAACACGGCGCTCGGGTGCACCGATGGAGAAAAGGCCAAAACGGAAGCTGGAGGTACTAAACAAATGGACCCCGAGTCAGTCTCATCGTCAACGCCAGGTTGGAATAGCGGGCCCGAGGAGCTCGCCGTGGCTTTCTCGGGCGGAGTGATTCAACACTATCCTCACTATAAAGAAACTGTACAGAGATATATTGATCGACTGCTACTTCGAGCTGGTCCTCAAGTAGGAGGGAAAAGTGTCTTCTTACGGGAGGCCAGTGATGGCGGGATCATCGGAACTGGTGTCCTTGCAGGAACGGCGTCGGGGGAAATTGGCGAAATCAAGGTTACTCCTAATTAGATATCATCAATTTCCCCCAGTTCATAGTCATATAGATGCATTATAAAATATATATCGCTTGCTTCCCCTCGGAGGTTCGCGCACTAAAAAAACAAGCCCCACCTCACTTTGACCGATATCGGTACATTTCCATGTCTTTCCGTTGAACGACTTGTTAACGTCATTTGAATCGAAGATCTACTTTCAGAATTTGTACAGTCCGCAGCGTAGCTTTTCATTATCAAGCCTCAAAAATCGTGATTGCCAATATATATCGGCCCTATTTGGTTCGAAGCCGCCAAGAACGCCGAACGCAAGACTTTTCCTTTTCTTTCCATCACGATCTTCCACCGAATACGAATAACCACAATGAGGTTCTTCGATGTGAGCGAATTACTTTCATTGTTTCTCGAGTCTTAGTTAACACTCGCCACAGGTTGCCGTCACATTCACTGCAGACCAATTCCAAGGCATCTACCGAGGAAAACAATATCACGAACCAGATTTTGCAGAAGTCCTGAAAAGAGCCCGAGAGCATGGATGTGAAAAGATCATGCTCACCACCATGACTCTGGAAGGCGCGAAACAAAATCTGCAGGCAGTGAGGGAGTTCCCCACGATGTGCAAAATGACCTTGGGCGTGCATCCATACCATGCCGCCGAGATTTATGAACAGCCAGAATCACAATATCTCAACGAACTGCGCGAACTGGGCGAAACACTTCTAGCCGAGAACCCCTCACCTCTGGCTGCGTTTGGAGAAATCGGGCTGGACTACGAGTACCTGGATCGGGCCGATAAGGAGACGCAGCAACGCGCATTCCGCGAGCAATTAGAGATGGCCGTGCAATTCCAATTACCGCTGTTCTTGCATGTTCGTGAATCAGCTGAAGACTTTATTTCTATCATCAAGCCTTTTTTGCCAAGACTACCGCGTGGTGGGCTAGTGCATTCTTTTGCGGGGACGAAGGGGGAAATGCTCCAGTTGGTGGAAATGGGTCTTGAGATCAGTGTCAATGGTGTCTCGTTCCGGACGGATGAACAGTTGGAAATGGTTAGAAATATTCCATTGGACAGGTTACAACTGGAGACCGATGCCCCGTGGTGTGAGGTCTTGTCTAATGATCCCAAAATCGCGGGTTATCTGGAAACTGCGAGGCCTTTGCCGGCGAGTCGGAAACATAACAAGTTTGTACTGGGGCAAATGGTCAAGACACGCAATGAGAGTTGTTTTATGGAGCGTGTAGGATTAGTTGTGGCGGGTTTGAAGGGGGTTACTATGGAAGAGGTGGTAGAGGCCGCTTGGAATAATAGCTGTCAGATGTTTTGGTTGTGAATATATATCTTTGAACCAATATAGACATTTAGAATTTATGGACAGAACTTCGCGAAATATTCTTCTGATTTAACTACTAGTATACTTTGAGGATTGGAATTGTCGACGTTTGAAATTCATTCAGAGCATGTTCAATTAACAGAGCTACGCTCAGTGAAGAGCACCATGCAGATCGCACAGCAACAAGCTTTTGCCCACGCCATGAATATAATTAGAAGAAATATTCATAGATCAACGTGGATGTAAACAAATCCCTCAGCTTCGGAGATCATGATTGGTGCCCTGGTAGGCATGCAGGGGGAGGAAGACAGGGGCTCGGCGGCCCCTTAGGGCTTGCCCCGGACTTGAGGTCGAGCCCCAAACTGGCTGTATTGCACAGCCCATGGCGGGAAAAAAGGAGCTACGTAGAATGGAGTTTTGTGTTGATTCTAGGGCCTAATTGCCGGACATTTGATAGCCATAACCAATTGTTACGCGTCCCTTTTTGCCTTTCTGACATCATGTCAAGATTCCTAGCCCACGGAGATTGATACGGCTAGGAATGAAGGAAGCCGTATCTTCTTTTTCACATTTGATCCCTGAGCGCCCATTGTGTATACAATCCAAATTGCCACTCAAGTCGTTGCCACCAAACGGTGGGGTTCTCCTAGATGCTTTTCTGGCGATCTAGGTATCTAAAAAAACAAAACAAAACCAAGATGATACTTGTGGCTTGTGTGACTTGTCTAATACATGTACCGAGGTAGAATATAGATCCATTAATTCTGTGAGATGTGAGGAACTTCCTGTTAACTTCTTATGCGAAAATAAGTATATAGTATGGTGGTGGAGGGCAACGGTTTGTTGACATTCTTTACGTTGCGAGGTCCATCTAAACCATCATCGCATGGGCACAGGCCGCAACATATGGTATCTGCCATTCCTCTATAGAGTTATGTGGAATGTTATGGACTACTGGCCATGTATTTATACTAATTGCTGTCGACAACCCAGAATTTATTCTCTTCTCCCAAGCCCCTATACTCTTATAATTGATCTTTGTGGCTAAGCCTTTAGCATCATACCAAGAGACTGAAAGTCTATACAAGAGTTCTCAAAAAGACGCTGTAAGTGAAGCGCTTGGGACTGCTTCGTTCTTTCCTCTCAATGTTACCGATTATCCGGTTCAGACTAACAAGCCATATAGAAACATCTCAATCATAATGAAGGCCACATTGATCCTATCTGGCCTTTTGGCTAGCACTGTCTCGGCTCACATGCAGTTGAACAAGCCATACCCTATCCGCAGTCCCCTCAACAAGGAAGGCAAGGGCGAGAAGGATTATTCTTACACCAACCCCCTCTCCACCTCTGGTAGCGACTACCCGTGCAAAGGCTACGCCAATGATGACTTCGAGGCCGTGGATACGTGGGCGCCAGGCTCGTCCCAAGAGATGTCACTGGAAGGTAGTGCTGTCCATGACGGCGGCTCATGCCAGCTTTCCTTGACTTATGACAAGGGTAAGACCTTCAAGGTCATTGAGTCCATCGAGGGTGACTGCCCTATTGCTAAGAAGTACCAATTCGAGGTCCCCTCGGACGCACCAAGCGGTGATGCTCTCTTCGCTTGGACGTGGTTCAACAAGGTTGGCAACCGCGAGATGTACATGAACTGTGCTATGATCACAATTGGTGGCTCCAGCAACCGCAGCGCTACTGTCAACTCCGAGTCCCGTGAGGCAAAGGTGGCCCCCAAGCAGACGCTCGACGAGAAGACCACCGAGAAGGGCCCCAACAACACGGCCAATACCCACACTACGAATGCCAAGAGCAGCTTCGATAGTCTCCCCGATATCTTTGTTGCCAACGTTGGTCAGGTTGGCAAATGCGTGACGATCGAGGGCCAGGCCGTTCACTTCCCCAAGCCCGGTCCCAAGCTCATTGGCAAGGCCGATGGCCCCGGCTACAACTGCTCCGACAATGCCCCCTTCCTCAACGGCGTTAACAAGTCTGAGACCAAGCCTGCGACAAGCAGCAGCTCCAAGGCTGTGATAAAGCCAACTACTACCAGCAGCTCCTCCTTCTCCACCAAGGCTTCGTCCAAGGTCGCCCAGACCTTCAGTACTACCTCCGCCACCGCTGACGCTCGTGTGCTCTCCACCGAGGCCTCATCCAACAACGATTTCATCGACTACGTCAGTTGGTCTTGCCACTCCGGTGATCTCATTTGCTCTCCCGATGGACTTTCCTTTGCCATGTGCAGTAACGGAAAACCCATCTTCATGGGTCCCGTCGCTGCTGGTACTATTTGCCGCTCGGGAATTATCGTTGCCCGCCAGTAAACGTTTTCATTTTTCTACTTTTCCTTTCTCTTGCCGATTGTTTTATTTTTTTATGTATATCCCAGTGGATATTTCAAGTTATATTAGTTTATAGACTGAATTAGTCGAGTGAACTTCGGTCGCTACATTCGGACTTCAGACTTTGACTTCTAGCCCGGTTATTGGGCGCTTTGTATTGTTCTTCTTTTACTCATGACCTGTTAAGCAACGAGTTAGTTGATGTCCCTATGTTGACGGTGTTGTGATGCCAATCTATCTAATGATTCCGTGTGTTAATCTAAATTCTGAACCTTGGTTATGCTATACATCTCTTTATTGCAATAATCCTCTAGGAACTATCTGATTGTCTTATAGACTCCATGCGTATCCTGTCAAGATTCTTGAGTCACATGGGACTTGAAATTGAGCTACGAAATCAATTCATTTAAATTCCTCTTGTACACATGTATGTACTTAAAGTGCCTGAAATATGCAAATGCCTGAACTGACTCCAGGGCTCCTTCCTAAAGGGCCAAAAGGCTCATGACTCTTATAAACAAATATCCGTCGGATTGGGAAGGTGCGATACATGCGACATTGACAGGGAAGGTGCAAGGGAACTGTCCATTCTAGGAAGGTACGGGTTGTTAGGGGTATAAAAGGGCACCCATTCCCCTTCCACCTCTTCTCTTCTTCTCTTCTTCCTCTCCTCAACCCTCTCGACCACCATCTCACCATAGCCCCCACGAGACAGCGTAGGCGGAGGGTCCCCAAACACATGGTTCGTGCACACCTATGGAGAGACATCAGCAGTACCTAGTTGCTGAGAGTCATACCATATACTCGTTGCCCACCAAGATCGAATATCAATTCGTGTGCGAGCCCTTTGATAAAGTCATGGCTGAGCATTTGGGCTCTATAGCCACTGGCAGTCCCACGGAATACACCCCTAGTTGTTCGATCATGTTCGTTCAACTACCTATATACATATAACTATCCAGATTATTAATGAATCATACGAGTGACAGGGTCGACTCGCGAGTTTTGTCTTGGACAAATGTCTGCTTGGTGATATATTCCTCGAAGGGTTGGAGATATCTTCGCTGTGCTCTTTCTCACAGTACCCTTAGTCGAGTTAAAGAACATTTATGATTGCCCCCTTATACTGCTACATACTAAAATTAACCTCCAAGGTTGTAGTATGATCCGCAGTCCGGACATTTCGTATTTGTTTTCGCACTAAACCAATGAAACCAAAGAGTTATGTGATATATCGAGCACCTGGAGCTACTTTGACGCTTCGGGAAAAAAAAATCAATATTACGTTATTTCTATGATGGATGTACAATTTGTATGGCAGACCCATGCAATTTCTGAAACTACATGTGAGTAACACCTGGGATCGATTACATCCAATCGCCTCCATGCCTTTGTAATCGCTACCTTGCTCCTATTAGAATGGATACTCACTGCTGTTCTGTCCCAAACAACCGGTAATCTGTTAGAAACCCCGTTCCTACATAATTTCCAATGATGATTGTTTCTCATTGGCCAGGATGCCCAAAGAGCTGCATACGATATACATACTACCTTACAATCTAATTGGATATATGTACAATCATACTTTACTATCCGAGACATCCCGGAAAGTAGCCTTAGGCCGGTACATACCAAAATTGGACCTAAATGCGGTTCTTACGGTTCTTCAGCTGAAGTCTACAAGGTATGACCCTTCAGCTCTCATCCACGCACTCCACAAGAACGCCTCCAAACTACTAGTTCAGGGTTGAGGTGTCATATGTTTGTTTCTTCAGTAAATTTATCGCTTGAATGCTCAAGTGGAGCCAATCATGTCCCTCCCGCCATGTCTCTCTAAACAAATGTGTCTCTACGCCAAGAAGCAAAAATAGTACATCCCTAGTCGAAATTTAAAACTGGAAGTAAGGGCCGGTCATCCCACCATAATGTTTTGTGTTTTTATTATTTATTTATTTTGGATTTCGTTTCTTATGATAATATCTACTTTACACAAAGCCATCACTCGAAGATCCCAGGCAGCTTCAGTCTTCTCCTGGAAGACTATTCACACCACCATGGGCGAACCTCAACAGAAATCTTTTGGCTACAAATGGCGCTCTTCCAAATGGTTTATTATTTCTACCGTCACTCTCGCCTTATTTGGTGGTTTGTCTGCCTGAGATCCGCTTTTCCATCTGTCGCGTTAACAGTATCTGGTGTTAGAAGTCTTCCTATACGCATTCATTGTCCCTATTTTAGACTACATGCTACAGACTCGCCTGCATATCGATCGCTCTAAGACTCAGAAGGTTACCTCTACGGTACTCGGCCTCCATGGCGCTATTTCTGTCGTCGCTGGGCCCATCATCGGCCATTTCGCCGATAAAACCCCAAACCGCAAGACGCCGTTGTTACTATCTCTTATAGCCTGTATCATAGGCACTGTCATGATAGCCAGCACCCATTCGATTCCGATCCTCTTAATAGGCCGCGTCCTGCAGGCAGTCGCGGGATCCGCTGTGTGGATCATCGGCTATGCAACCATCGCAGATACCGCGGATCAGGAGAATATCGGCACGATAATGGGGGTTGCAATGTCCTTTGTCAACTTGGGAGTCATCGGCGGGCCTATAGTCTCCGGGTTGCTACTGGAAGTAGCGGGATATTGGATAACTTGGATGGTGCCGCTCCTCATTTTGGTTATCGATCTTGTCGCGCGCCTTTTGATGATTGAGAGTCCGTTGAAAAGTTTCTCTCAGCTTGACACAAAGTCAACAAAGTTACGACAGACGGTAGACATAACAGAGACTACGGGCCTGTTGCCCCCGCATGACGATCCTCAAGATCCACCTATAGCTGCAGGTGGCTTTTGGCGCATTATGGTGTGCGATACTCGCGTCTTGACCGTTCTGGTCATCCAGGTATTGAGCATAGCGGTGGGAACGTGCTTCAACGCGACTATTCCACTTCACGTACAGGAAACCTTTGGATGGGGTCCTAGCAAGATTGGATTCCTATTCTCCTGCTTGATCCTGCCCAGTATCCTGGTCGGTCCCCTCGCAGGGTGGATACGAGACCGTGTCGGAACGCGATATCCAGCCGCAATTTCTTTGATTATTCAGGCGGCGGTGTTGGTGCTATTGGGTATTGCTGGAAACAAACGGATCTCTTGGGCGAGGGCTCAGAACTACGGCGGAACACTTTACATAGCATCTATCGTGGCTATGGGTGCATTGCGTCCTTTCACAGCTGGTCTAGGGCCTATTGAGTTGACTGGTAAGCGTTAATTTCTCTCAATGAAGTCGATATATCTGTGGGGGTTTCTAATTAGCCATCGCAGCTGCTGTCAAGGCACACCAAGAAAGGACACCAGGTATATTCGGGCCCGAGGGAGGACTCTCCCGGGTTTTTGCTATGATGGAGGTTGCTGCTTCCATTGGGATGACGATTGGTCCAATTGTGGGTGGTTCGCTCAAAGAACTACTTGGCTACGATTATATGAGTTGGACTTGGAGTAAGCGGTACACCCTTCTTTTTCTTGTGAAAGTACTAATAATGGTAGGTCTACTTTATCTTTTCCTTAGTGGGCTTGTAATGTGTTTCTTAGGGTCCGAGCACAGTGAAATGCCCCCTGCTGATGGAGAGTGCTAGAACCGTCATTGAGATTCTTGAAAGACATTGTATTATATATTTTTTTTTCCCGACCTACATGTCTATACCTTTTAGTTAATCTAGTTGGTCTCTCCAACGATGTAGACATTTGGGTAGTTGTGCATAATCTATTGTCATTCTATTACTGTCGATTACTTTGTGTGTAAGCATCGAGTCAAAATACAAACACAGCATACAGAGTTTTGGTGTCACAGTCCCACTCAAGCTCTAATATAAGTGCTAATGGCCATGGGCATAGGCATCCATTCTTTAAACCACATTGGATGGTTGACCGTTAATCTCACGATATAGGTCTCTAGAGACTTAAAGCCCGATGGTGATTCCGGGGATTCCATGGGCGTTCTTGTTGACATCGAATTGAAGATTGTCTAATTTTGTGACAATATAGGAGGTTTGTGAGTGCACGTGGATGCAACTTGCGACATTAAAGTCACTGGTGCTGTATTAGGGAAGTGTGCGTCAGTATAAGCCCTAATAGACCTAATAAGGAGTAGCGGACTCTGGGGCTTCTGATTCAGCTCACCAAGTATTCACTCAACACCCCATGGGCACAAGGTGCCCTATTTGTCCCGGGATTCTGGATTATAAACGAGAGGAGGCCGGGAAAGTATCTATATCCAACCAGAGAAAGAATTCAGGCCATTATTTGGCTCGGGATTTCATACCATGACTCGAGGTAAGAAGTGGCAGCATTCTCAGGCCCCAAGATTTTGGAATCTGTCCTCGGAACTATGTACTCAAAGAGCAGGGAGCGCTCGAGTCACTATTTCTCGCGCTTCATGATATTTCAAAGCGTGTTTACATAGTCTGTCCGATGACAATGACGTTTAGCGACACCACAGAATTGTGGAAGGCTCAGTGCTGAAGCAGTGTTCAAGAAGATTGTTTGTAACATGCGCGCAGGAAGTTGAAAAAAGCCAATCTGGTTGTCCGCTTCAACCATGACGAGCATTGCATCAACTGTCCTGTGCGTGTCTCCTACATACCAGAGGCCACAAGTTGAAAATTGGCCTGAGTCGGGCACTCTTCGTGGAGGTAGTCAAGGAATCAACAAAAGAGGACGGTATTCTGGCGTGAGCCAAACGAGAGCAGCATCCATATCACAGCACCCATCTCAATGGTTTGAATAAATGTTATGTAGAACTCCGGCTTTTCCAGAGTGGATGTTGGAAGAAATCCCGTACGAGGATTACACAGGCGACAAAAACGGCGGCGCATATCTCTAGAAGGCTGTACCGCCGGCCGACCCGAAAGAGCATATCTATGGTTACCACACCATCTTATTGGTCGTTTGGAAGGTGTCAGTTTCCAGTAAATATCTGACTGGAGAGCGTTTGGTGTATCGTTCGGGAGGTTGTCATAGTCTCCCATCAATTCTAACGGCAACCAGAAGATATGATGTATGATGCGGCCGATAATTTTCAAGGCGACCACCTCTGCGAGGATCCAATGCCTCGTACAATCCGAATCGTGGTTCTTATATAGATAGATGGTCACTTAGTTGAGCCAAAAAATGAAGGATTTTGTCAACTGCAAGTGATTGCAGCTGGTCTGTCTCATGAAGCCTTTGTGTTTTGTGTATCCGAGTATCATTGACCAGCTCGTCTTGAAGAGAAGAATGTTGCTGAGAATTTCCCGCAGAAAGCTTGAAAGTGTGGAACTTGTTCTCTGCTCCAAACATGGGAGGCAAGATAAGTGTGTAAGCTCTTGCAGAGCCCTAGTCCCTCCTTCGTAGTGTCATAGTAGCAGCCGGTAGAAAGAAATGCCAAGTATGATTCTTTCCTTCGTTGCTTTCGTTTGCTCTCCAAGGATCTCCTTGAGAGATTAGACCGTGAAGGTCCCCAGAGCTCCATGCCTTATTCGCCACTAGGTCGACAGCTGCCGCTGTAGCCAGTTCGAGAGATTGGTGACGGCCCGAGTGCCATCAAGCGTCACATAAACTCGCTCAAGATGAGAAAATAGTAGGATCGTAGGAACTGAAATTGAAGAGCCAGTATAGTGGAATCTGTGGGCTGACAGAGATCTAGGTAAGTAAATATGAGAGAAGTAAACAGAGTCGCGCCTTTAACTGAAGGGGGGAGGCGCGTATCTCCGGGTATCTCCGTGCCGATGCCGCTCCCAGAGGCCGCCTAACAACTGAAAACTTGAGCACTGTACTTCTTTCACACCCTGCGTTCTGCTTGAGAAAGTGAATTATAACATTCTATATACGGTTTAAGCTATATTACAATAGATAATGGCGACTTCACTTCTCGATCTCACATTTCCCTTCTTTGCCTCCAACATGTTTTGAGGTGAAACAACTCTCGCTTCGGACCTCTGCGCACCAAACCATTAACCCTTTCGAGGTGTGGCTCTAGCGTGGGGTTTGACATCGGGATATCCTTTCATAGGCATGTTTGCCTGCTCCGAGCCCTGAACACTTCATCTCCTCCCGTTTCATCTTCTTCCTTTCCCTCACCGGGCCGAGTGATAACCTGACAAACAATTCATTCGCACAACAGTACCGTAAGAATGACATTCCCAGCGCTCGATCTACAGGCAACCGCTGGGCCATTTACACCACTCATGTCTCCGCGAAAGCAGTGGCGCATGCTGCGAGATTCTGAGGAAGTGGAACGGGATCTGGAGGTTGAACAATGCGTGAGATTATAATGATCTTGGGTTCTCGAGGTGTTGCCTATCTCATTTAATAACCAGGGGACCTTGTGCCTATTCGGTCTGTTCCGAGTCCTGGAGACTTCATTCCCCTCACGGTGCAGAGAAAGAGTACCCGAGGACAAAATTTGTGATCTCGGGTCCTAGGGCTGTCGGCTCTCCACACCAGTGATACACGTTGAAGATAGAAAAGACATATGCCAGTGTGCCAGTGTCGCTCAAAATCTCCCCGCAGATAAGATGTTCTTTCAAGGGAACTGTTACGCGCCAGATCCCAATCACTAGAGAAGGAGATTGGAAACATCCAGACTCCACAGTACAAGATGGTGGACGAGCTCGTTAGCGAGAGCCAGAAAATTCGAAAGGGGGACGAAATGATGTGTTTGCAGGCAAAGCAACAGCTTTTGCATTGCCAAGCGTTGCTCCATGACATCCAAATGTCCTACTTATGTCCTGACAGAGCTCCGTGGCCTGTGTCAAACTTGCGATCTTAGGTTCTAGTTAGTGTCTTTGGTTACTTTCTCCTATTTTGCATTGACCATTTTATATCACTCAGTCCATTGCCCTCCATATGAACTTCCTTTTATATACATTATATAGAGAATACATGCGAAGTTACTGCCACCCCTTGGCTTGTCTACAAGATATGATTAGCAAACCAATGAGAAAATACTCGACTGATCAGACAACCTATCTCATGGATATTGTTGTCTGAACGGGGTAAAACGTATCGCAGGAGAAATAAGGGTTCGCTAGCGGGCGCTTAGTCGGGCGTGGCAGCATCAACGTAATGCTCAACGTAATCGGCGCCGCATAAGATTGATTAATTGCAAGGAATGTCAGAATCACTCCTTAGGTCAATTTAAAGTACAACCAGCCATTTCCCCCAACATAATCAAATCCGGCATGTTGCCATATATTGACGCATGCGGAAAGTGAGGCAGAATGCCATTGTCGCATTACGTCTAAACATGAAACTCAAACCTAGACTAGACCCCCGACGAGGCCGCGCGATGTAGAAAAATATTGACAAAGCAGTGTATTGATTAATATTAAAAACGTGACCAGCTAGTCTCGAAGGACCCTAGTATGCTCGCCAGATATCCTCCATCATATTGTACAATCCAATCTAATCACAAACATAGCAGCGGTATCCTGGCTCTCAAATAACACAAAAAAGGGTCATAGAATCATCGACCAGTGCACAAGCACCAGTCCAGTAAGACGAAGATACTCAGAGCAGCAAGTATCCTACACCAGTAACCTAGATGTTGCCAGTGTATGCCGAGTTACCATAGCCATAACCACCTGCAGCCGGGGTAGCAGCCGGAGCATTGGCGGTGTTCTTGTTTTTGCCCCAGGAGCTGAACCATCCCTTCTCGATATTGGGCTCGGCACCCATCTCGACGTCATATGGGGTTGGGTGGCCGGGCAGGGCATCGCCGCCGCCGACGGCAGCTTCGGGGTTGTTCTTGTTACGGCGCCAGAAGGCCTTGCGGCTACCGTGGGTGTAGCCGTTGGTGGGCGAGGGACCGAAACGCTTCTCGCGCTTGTGGTGGCGGGCGAGAAGGATTTGGAAGAGGATGGAGGTCAAGTAGAAGAAACTAGACGATAAGTTAGTATAGTTCAGATAACCAGTGATTATCAGTAATCCATGATCAACTCACATTCCGATAATGGCAACTGCGAAAACGACCTTTTCTAGTTTGCAAGACATGCCGAATTTCAGACCCTTGGAAACAGTATCATCGTCGGCGTTGCCCGTGCCCATTGGTGTGTCCACTGTTCCGGTACATTTGCCAACACCATTGCGAGTCAAGATGGCGATGGCGACCATCGCGCCCACAAAGCACACGTCCAGAGCAACACCCAGGAATGCAAAGAAGGCTACACCGCCCAGGCAGCAGGTGAAAATAATACCCAGCAGACTGTAGGCCGTTGCTGCGCCTGCTAGGCCTTCAACGGCCTTGATCCATGTGGCAATGGAGTGGTCGTTTCTGGTCAAGACAGCCAAGAAATACGAGAAAATGCCGAGAATTACGGCAGCATCAAGAAACTGCAGAACACGCAGACCGAGGTTGAAAAACCGAAGGATTACCCCGCCTGCTCCCATATTGTATAAGAGTGGTTTGTTTTGTGGATATAAAGGTGATAGTAACGACCGTGAGGTCAAGGGGAGAATATAAGAAAGAAACTCAGGCAACAGGATTTGAGCGAGTTATAAGGGAGCAAGATAAATTGACGATCAGTGGATGGCGGTACTGTTGTACGTCGATCCTGGGAAAAGCTCTCAGCTCAATGGCCCAGTGTCTGCGCCACAC